GATATTACTGGAGCTTTGCCGCAAAAATGGGATTTCACCTCCAGAGTACAGAGAGTCTGAAATTAAAGTTCTCAACAAGATCTTCAAGGTTCCCAATGAGGCTTTTCCAGAAGGTGGAAATACAATTTTATTAATATAAAATAAAGATTATAAAGCACCTTCATGTAATACAAAGAGTAATTTTGTGTCCTCTGTTGTCCAAATGAAAAAAAAGAGTTTGGCTCGAAACAGATACAAAAAATATCCACATCCTTTTATTGTTTCATGGCACTGAACTGCGATATTTGTCTTTTTTTTTTGTCAAAATGCAAGCAAATTTCTACAAATTGGTCATATGAATTTGTGAAATATTCTATATTCTATATTTTTTTAATTTTGTTTTTGAATATATATATATATATATATATATATATATATATATACTGCAGCAATATTTCTTACATGCTCACAGCAGCATATTGTGGATGTATTGGCAGTAGCAAGTCTCGGTACTTGCTCTGCCACAGCTGCAGCAGCAGCGTAGCAGATCTATCCCACCAAGACCAAATACATTAACATTGTCATGAACATAACCATGCCAATACCTCCGAGAGTTGTCATGACAGAAATATATATATACATATACATGTACTCTTTAGCTTTTTCAACTAGATTGAGGTCTGATGACAGACCATGTATGGCGTACCTGTTTATTAATATGAGACTTTGGTGCTGCAGAGTTGCTGAAGAAGAATAAGAAGACAGAGGAAGACTATGCAGAGCTGGATGAGCATAAAGCTCTGAGTGTCCTGCAGCGCTGGAAGGATATGAGAGAGTTCAGTGAGGGAGCGTGTCCTCTGGTTCCTGAGCATGTGGAGGTCCGCTCACTGCTTAATGCGGAAAAGCCAGGCCTCCCTCAGGTCAGACTCAATCGCACGCACACAGTGACTGATTAGTCTTAGGCAAGGCCATTTAGCTTGGATCAAACCATCATTTAAGTTGTGTCCCAAATGATGCACTGTACACTATACACTTATTCTATGCACTATGTATATAAGTTGAAATATGAATTATATAAGGTTATTTTGACATCCAACATCAGAGTCTGATAGCCTGTCTCATTCCAGAATGTCATTAAAGCTGCAACAGTTCACTTCGGTTAATTAAGTGCATCATCTGGGCATTTGAAGTTTCACTTTGTCTTTTTGGAATTTTTAGTGAGCACACTAATCACACTATAATAAAAATGGCATAGAGTAACACACAAGTATGGAAATTGGGATGTACCATTGTCCTCCATGTAGTTGCAACATATTTTCTGATGTCTTTGACGTGACAGGGTTATGTTCACATGTGGATCGACATGTTTCCTGTGGATGTACCTCCACCACCACCTGTTAATATCAAACCTAGACTTCCAGAGAGGTAATCAGGAGATCACAGACTTCATGTAGAGAATTAAAGATCTGAAGATTTCTTCCTACAGCTCTCTTAAGTTGCTGATGTGCAGAGTTTGTGTACTGAAAGAAAAATGTATCCCCATGTTTCTAGTTATGAGATGCGTGTGATCATCTGGAATACTGACGATGTCGTACTGGATGATGTCAATCCTTTCACCGGAGAGCCATCAAGTGACATCTACATTAAAGGGTGAGGATACACAAGAAATGAACTAAAGTTTCTTTAATACTGCTTTAAACTTCTCTATTCCATATAAAATTCAATAATAATATTCCATAAAAAATTTATATATGTAAAATAATATATATGTGTATATATGTGTATATATATATATATATTTTTTTTTTTTTTTTTTTTTTTTTTTTTAAGAAATTAAACTTTTTATTCAGCATGGATGCATTCAGTTAATCAAAAGTGGCAGTGCAGACATTTTAAAAGTTTAAAATACTTTAAATATATATTATATTTGTTATAAAAATATATTATATATTAAATAAAGTTATTTTAATTAGTAATAATATTTCACAGTATTACTGTTTTACTGTGTTTTATAAATAAATACAGCCTTGGTGAGCATAATAGACTTCTTATTCTTATAGATTAGAATAGATTCTTACCGACCCCAAACTTTTGAACGGCAGTCTATAATAAAAATATATAATTTTTATATTCACCAGCTGGATTAAAGGTCTGGAAAATGAGAAACAGGAGACGGATGTGCATTTTAATTCCCTCACTGGTGAAGGCAATTTCAACTGGCGCTTTGTCTTTCACTTTGACTATCTTCCTACGGAGAAGGAGGTCATCTACAAGAAGAAGGAGTCCCTATTCGCCCTTGAGGAGACTGAATTCCGCCAGCCGGCTGTTCTGGTGCTGCAGGTCTGGGATTATGACCGCATCGGCTCCAATGACTTCTTAGGTTAGTGGTTTTAGTTACTAGTCAAGGGCTAGATATATGAAATCTAGTGAAATTTTCTAGTTGGTCAGTAAAAACATGAATTCCTTTCCAACGGTTGTGGCCAGGATCCATAGAGTTGCGTCTCGGCGATATGGTCCGTGCAGCAAAATCATGCGAGCAATGCAGCATCAAGATGGCCAAAGACAAGGCTGGCCCTCGCTTCTCCATCTTCCGCAGCAAGAGGATGAAAGGCTGGTGGCCGCTCATCAAACTAAAGAGCCAAGAGGACATTGAGAGAGAGGAGAGGGAAGCAGAACAAGAGAAGAAAAACAAGAAGAAGAAGAAAAAGAAGTCAAGCAAGCGTAGCCAAATGAAACCAGAAGATCTGCAGTTTGTGGACAACAGTGGGAACACCTTCCTCCTAATGGTACAAGCACTTTGTCAATGCACAAACATTGAGTAAAATGAATGTGGTAACACACCTGTTTACTTTGTAAAGGTAGACTCAGACTTTTCATTCATTAATGTGGTTTTCAGGGTAAAGTAGAGGCAGAGTTCCATCTAGTGACAGCTGAAGAAGCTGAGAAGAACCCTGTGGGAATAGCACGCAAAGAACCTGAACCTCTGGACAAACCAAAGTAAGGGACTAAAGCTATCTGTGCATAATATATATCTTCATATCAGTTTGCATCTTTTTATTTTTATTGGGTGTCTCTAAAAATGTGCTACATAAATATGTTTTTGTCCCCTTAAGCCGCCCCAAGACATCCTTCAACTGGTTTGTGAACCCGTTGAAGACCTTTGTGTTCTTTATCTGGAAGAAGTACAAGAAGTACATCATTGCTTTGATCATTTTGGTTATCCTGGTGCTCTTCCTCTTCCTCATCCTCTACACTCTGCCTACACACATCAGCCAGCTTATTGTCAACGGATGAGAAGGTGTAAACTGAGAAATTTATGAATCAACTGGGGAAATAATGATACACATAGATTTTAATGCTTTTAATGGAAAAGACATAAGCAATAATAAATGGAATACGATTTTAACAAGCAACTGCCTGTCAATAAATTCAGTGCAGTTTAATGCTTTATGATTCAATGTACACTAATGTTCAAACGTTTTAGGGTAGTAAGTTTTTTAAAGAAATTGATATTTTTATTCAGCAAGGATGCATTAAATTGATCAAAAATGACTTTTAAATGTAAAGACGTTTCAAATTGTTACAAAATAACTTTCTGTTTATTATGGTTTTGTCCCAATTAATAATAAACTTCAAATTTAATCACTTTGCAATATTTGGACAACATTAGACTTTTTTCGAATGAATTTGTTTGTTTTCAGTGTGGTCACCTTAAAAGGCCTATATATTTTTACAGTGCGTGGGCATTAGGCATCCAGCCACCACAATCTGAGTTAGACAGCTTGGAAATGTGCAGCAGGGGTCACAGGCTCTCTGCTGGTTTGGGCTGTCTTGGGTAGAAGGGAGCCCGCAGCTGACTGAGTGAAACTCTATAATCAGCTGGGATAGGTGATTTCCAGTCTTTATTATTGATGCGTTATGTTATGCACTTTTCTACACTCTCAAACTAAAAGGCAGGCAGTGTGTGACTATAGTCCCCCCTTAGACATGTTTTTAGTTTTCTGTTGCTCTTGCTTAAATATTAGCTGTTTTGTTCGTGAATGAATCATTTAATTCAGTGGATTGTTCACGTTTCTATTACAAAGAGCCAACTGAACTAATACACCCTTCACCGAACAAGTCAGTGCTGTTGAATCTGAACGAATCAAAAAGACACTTGTCGCCACATACTTGCGCAGCGTGAACTGCAAAAAGAGTTCACCGAATGAATCGTTGAACAAAATGATTCAAAAGATTCGACTCATGAATCAAAATCCCCACCATTTCGATGTTTTGGCATCATTAATACAGTCTGATAACTCTTATTTATTTGCACAGATGAATAATAACATTGAGAAAATTGCCCTAATGCACACTTTATTGATTTCTCTGCACATGTTTGTACTGTAAATCAAATGAAAAAAAAATATTTGACCTTAAATGATTATTTATTGTCCATTATTAATTTACATAATTAGTTACGGCATAGCAATTAAACTAAGAGACTAGATGAGATTCAATACATTACAGAAAAAATATCTTAGATAAAATATCTGGTGCCGTTTGCATAAACTAGCCTACTTAGACTAGTCTTAAAAGTTAAGACTGGACATAACTTTGTAAAGTCAGTTACATAAAAAGGTAGATTGGTCTAATTTTAATCTGAAGGTAAGACTGACTGCCACTTGGTTATCTGCATTTATTAAGACACAGTCTTAACATAGTGGCTGTTTATGCAACCCTGGTGTCATTATTTGTTTTCAGAATGCACTTGAAAAAGCCATCACCACTACCGGATAATACAGGTGCATCTCAATAAATTAGAATGTCGTGGAAAAGTTCATTTATTTCAGTAATTCAACTCAAATTGTGAAACTCGTGTATTTAAGTTGAACTGAGTTGAATTACTGAAATAAATGAACTTTTCCTCGACATTCTAATTTATTGAGATGCACCTGTATACTGACCACAATGGATGCCTATAATAGTTTCACCACTATCAGCCACCGCAGCCGCTGATGTGCCTTGTGGAGACCATCGGCCGACTGCGCATGCGTACTATCGAACAGTCAGCGCTAGACTGACACTACAACCGTCCTGTTTCCTCTTTATGAGCTTTCGCCACTATAGCCAAACATACACTGCTGCACTTTACTTTCCTGCTGTCTTAACTTTTCAAACAGCTTGACATTTTTCTAGCTACTTCCTCACCAACAGTATCAACCTTTTTAATGTGCTTGCTGTGAAACATTTCTTTTATAATTAGCATTTTCTTAATTTTCCTCCAAAATGCCCGAGTTTATATCGGTGGACGATTTTATCGCGGAGACTTTGGAGGACTACAGCTCTCCCACTACCTCGTCCTTCTACACCAAAATGACAAGTTGCCGAAATTCCGCCTACAATATCGAGGAGGTATGAGATTATACTTTAATGTGCTGCCTTCGCTTGTTCTGTCTTTGACAGTTAAGTTGTACAACATGATGAATGAAATGAAGGCGTTCTGTCCTGTCCATCATCAGGAGCAGGTCTCAGAATGTCTTTGTGAAGGCAATATGCCCTTTATCCTGTTTTACGGTGCTTTGTTTCAATGCAGAACAGCTTAATCCAATGAACGCGTTGGCTTTCATGTGTTTTTCTTTCTCTATGAACACTGCTTCAAACATTACTACAACAGATACTGATGCTCTTTGTCTTGTTTAATCCATTTCCAACACGAACCGTGTGATTTCAAGCTAAATCCTCAATTAAAGTATATACAAAATTGTTATAATTGTCTCGTTTCCATGTGGCGCTATATGGCATATAGTAGCTGCTGAAAGAGGAAGGATCACACATTTCATTGCGCGTTAACATCATTTCCTCGTCGTTATTGCAAATTAAACGGCATCGAATACTTCGCAATCTTTCCGTTTTTGTAGTAATGTATTTGACTTATTATTTCTTATTTTGCCGCTATGTCGCGCTTCTTATCGCCTATCCCTCCTCGTGCGTCAGTACGAGCTTTTGCTGTATTATCACGAGCACGTGCCTTTCATCTCGCATTTATTGAGCTGCATAAACAAAAGCCGGCTTAGGATTCATGGATCTTCTGGAGCAAAGGAACCAGCCCATGAATATGACTGTAATGTTTCTGTGTCAGCATCCTTTGTTGCTGCTGTTGTTGTTGTTGTTGAAACAAGCCTCCTGTGAACCAATCACTGGCTTCTGATTTTAGGGTTTAGGGATGTGATGATTGGTTGATAGGAATGTTGCTCCAGGACCAACAAAGGATGTTGATCCAGGATCATGTTGTAGGTATTTTATTTATCATATTTATTTGTCCTGAAAACAATGTGATTATTTTACTATTGCGGATTTTGACACAGCACAGGCCATCCTCTTCCTAATAAAGTTAATAATAATATCAACCAGAACCAGATTTTTATGCACATTGGCTCTTGGCGAGTGTTCATTTTCAGACCCCCATGTTGTGCCAATTTGAGGCGTACAGCCGGGTCAGGGTCGTAACAATTGAATGATGACTGCTTTAATAAAAGTGACATAGTGGAATGTGAAGTAACCATGGTGATGACCTGGCCTGTGCAATACACAGCCATACAAATTGAACAGTGCACCGCATTACATGCTTGATTGTTTGGGTTTCATGTGACAGGATGGGACCCTTAATATCTAGTGAGCTTTGCACACGCATAGCCTTAGGGGGTTTCAGGACAAAAGCGGTATAAGAGAGTCTGAGTGGTGGTCTGGTCTTTCTTCTGAAGAGTCAGCCATCACTATTCAAACCATTCTTCATCCTTCATAACAGAAAGCTCAAGACTTCATTAATGAAGCACACCTCGGTTTAATCTGCCTTAGTGCAGATTTACAAGCACTGAAGTAAATCCTGCTGCTTGGACAAGTCCCTCAAAACAACTTCTTAGAAGCATAGGAGGGCAAATATATGAAATATGTATGACTTAAAGGGATAATTAATGATAATTAATCATGAAAAATCATTTACTCATCCTCATGTCGTTCCAAACCTATATGATTTTATTTCTTCTTTGGGACAGAAAATAAGATATTTAGAAGAATGTTTGAACTGTTTTAGTCCATGAGTTAATAGAGCCCAACAACACTGGACTTCATTGAGAAAAATGGGAAAAGATGGGAGTGGGAGGGGGGTGTTCAGCGATGTTGCCGCTGGTGCCACTTCTCGTGGGCGTCGAGTCCGATCCTTGAGCCGCACACACAACCACAGATGGAACAAGGGAAACCAGATACCAGGGGGGTACCAGCCCCGTACCAGACTTCATTGAGAAAAAACAATACAAAACATACACACACACATATACATATTTTCATGTTTTATGTGAACTAAGTGAATGTTTTCAGCTCTGTGCTTAACACTCTTTTGGTACAAGACCTGTTCCAGTTCATTCAATGTTGAATCTCACTTGCCCTCTAATATTTGAAATTGTGAGCAGTTGAATCCGTGTATCATTCGATCATTCGTTTTTTGATTTAATATTGAAAGTAGAAAAATGAGAAAACGGCTCATTTTTTGTTTTTTTCATTTTTATCCAGAAAACGAAAAACAAGAATTCAGCTTAAATTTTCGTTTTTTGTTCATGGGTGGAAAAATGAATAAACAGCTTGAATATTCGATTTCTACATGTGGGCGGGAATTAAACACCCCTTTCTGCTGATTGGTCAGCCGAATATCAAACCATGCCATCATCAGTTCTTCCACAGTATCACGCAGCAGAATAATAGTCCTCCACTGCTGCAGTTGTATGGATACTTAACACATTTATTGCAACTACATTTAATCTTTTTTCATCAAACAAACAGGCTAATGAATAGCTGGATACAACTCATACTGGGGCAGAGTCTAGACAGGGCTTTCTTCTGTGTAGATATAAATTCTATTCTTTGCATCAGCTGGGCATGGCAGGGAGTTAAATAAACTCAATAAGCAGACAGACGCGACTACAGTCAAGCACAGATCAGTATTGAAGTGCACCGGAAATAAGCAGCAGTCATATTTAAAGCAGTTTAAATTAATATTGAGTACTGATTGATGTTCACTTGGTTTTTTTTCCCCATCGAGGGGAAATAACTTAATACTCTGTCATTTATAGTTGTATGGTAAAATGTATATTTTTAATTGTGTAACATTACGTTCAAAATAACTGCAAAATGTCATGCCTTTGAAAAATAAAGAGAACAAAAGAATGCACTGCTTTAGCGCGTCTCAGTCTCCTTGAGCATCTTTCTGGCACATGCCACAAACATGAACCACAGGGAATACTTGTCTTTTAAAAGGCTTCATTTAGATGATTTTACATTAAATGCATCATATAAGTCACTTTGGAATAAATCACAGTAGGCC